CCCTGAGTGATGTACTGCTTCTTTATCACAGGTATACCATTGTCTTTGCACCCAGCAATTGGGCCAGGCTTGTGGGTGAATGGCTGTGGTCTGGGACCCTCTGCAGCCTGGGAGATGAAAGTAATTGGAAAGTCCTGGGGACAGGTAAATGGGTCACTGAAGCAGGAATTTCGGTGGCTGAGTTCATCACACATAGAACCCTCTATGCATGGCGGGGGGGGGGGGGCTGTGGGAACCTGGCTGTAGTCGTCTGTCCTCCAGAGCTAATCATACCCATAGTCTGGATGTTCCTACGAGTCACCTAAGACTGTGAGTGCTCAGGACCATGCCTAGGATACAGGAGTGCTCAGTAAATGGAGAGATTGATGGGAACGGAGACCCACGTGTGGGAACACTGGCTTCCTTATGTGGCTACTGTGAGCTGCTCTCTTAACTCTTTCCCTGCTCCAAGTCCTCCTAAAACCAATGGGCATCCAGGAAAGGCGTGGCTCCTAGCTCAGGGAGTTTACCTACACAGGGCTGGTATACCTTCAGGCACCATAGTAGCTTGCTATGACCTGAAGGTCTAGCCCTAATTATGTTGGAATTCTAACCCTTTGGTATGGTAGCATTGGATGGGTATCTTTGGTGGCAGGGGAAGGGGGGCAATTATGTCCCAAGAGTAGACCCTTGAAGAATGGAGTTAGTGTCCTTACAAAAGCTTTTGTTTCTGTCTCTGTGAATGCACTGGGAAGTTGGTAGTATACAGCCAGAAGAGTCCTCATGTGAGCTGCCATGCTAGCACTTCTGCCTCATACTGCCTCATACCGCCTGCCTTTGCACTGCAGGAACTAAACTCCTATTGCCATAAGCCGCCCAGTTCTATGGTGCTCTGTTATAGCAACTCAGATGGATGAAGAGAGGCTCCCTCATGGTGCCCACAAAATGGTTTCTTTTAAAATTAGAATGAAAATTTAATTTTTAGGTTAAAGAAAATATTTTAATAAATACTGGTATAAATATTTTAATAAATACTGGTATATTTATCTTTATACTAACATAGCCATAAAATCCAGTTTAGACACACACACACACACTTCCCAGAAAGAGAGTGGGCAGGCCTATGAAAGGAAATGTGCTTAGGGCCTATAAATGTCATAGACAACCCTGAGTCAGGGTATATATTCTTTTGAACTTCTGGGTCTTACTGGACACTCTTAGCCAGAAAAAAGGTTCTCTACTGTCAGGATTCTGGAAGTTAACTGTGTGGGTGTGTCCTGTTTCAGAACATAATTTGAAACCATTTCTAGCAATTGGGTACTGACCTCACCCTTGAAGCATCCACCCCACAAGGACTCTCTCCTCTCCTGCCCACCCGAGACCCACTGGCCTTTGGAAACCAGGACCCAGCAGGGCACACTGTGCATATACGATGGACCCAGGCTTCGAAAGCTCCTCCCACACCTACGCAGAAAGCCCAGATGGCCCTGGTCTCCATCAGCCTAGAGGGACGTGTGGGGAGCCAGCTCTGGCCCAGTCTCAGCAGGCAGCTAGCTGCCTTTGTCTGAGTGACTGGCCTCTAAGGGGACAAGGGGGTGTGTCAGAACGACAGCCGGCCTTCTGGGCTATGGTAAGGGGCACTTGGCTCTCAGGCTGGACCTGGCGCTTGCACCAGTTGCCCTGGCTCATCTGTAAAACAGGAGTCAGACCGCTTAACTGGGATGGAGTCCAGCTCAGTGCTAAAGCTTCATGAGGCTTTGGGTTCCATATCCAGCCCCACAAAAAAATTCAAAAAGGGAAAAAAAAAAAATTCAAAAAGGGCTGGCAAGATGGCTCAGTGGGGAGAGGTGCTTCCAGTGTAACTCTGGTAACCTGAGTTCAAGTCCCAGAACCGTAAAGATGAAAAGGAAGGACAGACACCACAAAGTTGTCTTTTGACTTCCACACATGCACTGAAGCAAGCAAGCAAGTACACACACACACACAGGCATAGAGACATACACACATACTCATACACACCAGACACAGACACACACATACACATACACACATGTACACATATTCATATACATAGACACACATGCATGTACACTCACAGATACACACAAGTACACACAGACACACACATGTACATCACATAGATATACTCACAAACACAGACACACAACCCCAGACACAAGCAGACAACAAAAACCAACAAAAACAAGGAGCTGCAGAGATGCTTAGCAGCTAAGAGCCCTTGTCACTAGTAGCTGCACTCATAACTCCAGTTCCAGGAGAGCTGATGCCTTCTTCTGACCTCTGCAGGCACCAGGAGCACACGTGATGCACATACCATGCCGGCAAAACTCTCTCTCTCTCTCTCTCTCTCTCTCTCTCTCTCTCTCTCTCTCTCTCTCTCTCTCTCTCTCTCTCACACACACACACACACACAAATAAAAAAAATCCTAAACAAAAAACTAAGCAAGTCAAAACCACTTGTCTGCTTACTGCTTGCTTCACTGGCCCACCTGAGAGCGTGGCCCGGTTTCCCTGTCCATGGTTCCCCTTCTGTCTGCATTCTTTGCCTTAGTACCCAAAGGCCTTCCTAAGTCTTGTGGTGTGAGTGTTCTAAAAGATTCATTCAAAATGAAGTTTCCTTCTTTTGCCTTTCTGTAGAGCTAGGACAATCGTGACCTGCTCTTTGCAGGACAGAGGACACACGTCAGCAGAGACAGGAGTGAAATGCAGGGTAGGAACATTTAGGTATGGTAGGCTGCGTGGGACTTGGTAACCTACGTGCTTCTAAGCAGGCCTGTCACCCGGAACAGTCTGGGTGAAGCCTCGGGTTGGGAGTCCTCTTCAAACACTTTTCCTTTCGACCTCTCACCTCTGCTCCTCCTCCCCTTTCACAGGCATTCAGATCATCATTTCCTTCACCCCAGCCCTGTCTGTCTGGTCATCCTCAGGCAGTGTTGTGAGCCATGGCCAGTCTCAACATGTCCTCTCCAGGTACCCAGACAGCTCTGGGCTGGGCCTGCCTAAGGAAGGATGAAGAGAGGATGCTACACAAGGAGTTGTTACAGAGGCAGTGCTCCCATGCTTCTCCACGGTATTATAGGAAATACCTCACAGGGCTCACTAATGACTTGAATAAAAAGCTTATCTGACCACCTGAGAGACTTCTGCCCCTCCCCCACCCTTTTATTGAAGATAGGGCTTCTCTGTGTAACCCTGACTGTCCTGGAACTCACTCTGCAGATCAGGCTGGCCTTGAACTCACAGAGATCTGTCTGCCTCTGCCTCCTGAGTGCTGGGATTAAAGGCATCTGCCGCCACGGCCCAGTTGAATCTTAGGCTTCTTACAAAAAGTCACTGCTAGATGCTATGGGGACATTTCCTGGGATGGGGTAGTCGAGAGGCTGGTCAAATCTGCAGCAAACCAAAGCCATCACAAAAGCCATTTTCTTCAGGAAATTCCACCACGCTGGCTTGGCCTCAGAGCCTAGCTTCTAGATACACAAGTCCCGTTCTTCTGCCAGGATTATCTTGCACGAGCCCTTTCCCAACCTCTTCGGATCCTAGAGCCTGCTCCTGCCCTGGATGGCGGCCAGGCAGTGAGGACTTCTTACCAGCTCACAGTCTGGGCTCTTCTGAGATTCCTGTCTGGACCGGCCGAGGCATAAAAGGCTTGGGGGAAAAGATTACCACCGCTGAGCTCGTTACAGAGAAGACAGACTTGGGACATTTTTGGGTTTTGGTATCATTTATTTTTTTTTTTTTAAACCCATTTGTAGTTTGGGTTCAGCTGGGAAGCAGGACATACGGGTGACGGGGAGGAATGGCGCGAGCAGGATTGGCCCATAGCTTTGGCAGGAAGCTCTAGACCCTGCTCCGGGGAGGTAGGGTCCTGTTGTCAGGTTCCCAGCTGGCTCAGGTGAGGTGCCAGATCTTCTGGCGCAAGTGTCCTGAGCAGAGGAGAGAGTTCTGTTCTCTCCCACCCACCTCCTCCAAGACCCAGGCAGGTTTCCCAACACAGTGCCAGGCAGCTGAGGGACATCACACCATGGGCAGGCCTGAGTGTCTGGGACAAGGAACACTGGCTGGCTTCTGACGCCAGATAACAGCCTGCAATGTGGCTACCCAGAGGGCCCCAAAGGAGCTGCTTCTCTTGGCTCCTGGGCTGTGTGGGCTTCATCCCTGCAGCTGCCCTGGGTGCAACCAGTGGTATGCTTCCCACCCCCTAACCCTTCAGACAAAATGAAATAAAATACAATAAAAATTAGAATAAATACCAATCAGGTCAACATTTACATTTACACAGACGGACGAGAGGATTCCCAGACCATAAAGGCTTACAGACTGGATAAGGAAGAATGCATGGATGAAGACGGTTTTAGGGGGCACACATTCCCCGTGGTTGATGGTGAGGCTCCTGGCCCTGTCCAAGGGAGGCTGGGAGTCCTGCAGGAGCTGTGGCCCCAGAGCTTAGGCAATATGGCCAGTTCATGAGAAGGACCGTGACAAGCAGGCCACTTGAGAGGAAAACAAGGACCAAACTCGTCCTGACAGGCGGGGGAGTCTTAAAAGGCTCAATATACGATCGCCATAGCCAGATGAACAGCACAAGCCCGAGAGAGGCGGTAGCCAGATACCTCTAGCTCTGCCTCCTGTCCATTCATTCAGAGCTGGGCTCTGATACGCTGTTCCTCTGGCGGCAGAGAGCGCTCTGGCCTGGGGAGAGGTCAGGGGTCCGTGGGTGCCTGCAATTTTCCCCCACTTCCTGCCTGAGTAGTCTCCTACAGAAAGCTACTCAGACTTGGAGATTTTAGGCTTTACTGTTGCTTCTTTAAAAAATAAAATAAAATAAAGGTTTTTTTTCCCATGTCTGAAAAAGTAGCAGGGATCTGCATTTCAAACAAACAAACAAACAAACAAACAAGCAAACAAACAGCTGGAAGTGTCATATTGGGATGGACCGACCAGGAAGAGCTCTCGAGCAACTAGGCAGACGGTAAGTCTGGAGCCACCAGGACACAACATGTAATTAAAAATATATTTATATATGTATACATATTTATATCTTGCATCTTCATACTGGTCCTCAGGGCCCTAGAAGGGGCTGCTCTTGAGGAAAGACCCCCCCCCCCAATAGGCCGCTAAGAAGGAGCTGCATTAGGTCCACGGTACCCACAAAGCTACAGTCTCCGCCTCTACACAGTGTTTGGGAGCCCCCATATGGAGCCTAGGAGACCTCCCCTACTCCCGTGACTTCAACCTCCACCATCAGCCTCTTTCTTTCTCATGGCCCTGCTTCACGCTCAGCAGATGCTTATATACACTTGTGTGTGTGCAAGCATTCACGCTCACACATGCCAGCCTTAGAGACGCCTGGGAAGCTGGCCCACGCAAGGACACCTGTGGCTCCCCGAAACTGCAGAGAGCAGGTGCCTGTGGACCTGGGCCGCCCCATTCTACAAGAGCAAGGTTTCCCTGGGGCCTTCTCTGCACGCATCTGCCCTGCATTTCCCTCAACACCACCTGTGGGGCTTGGAAGTGTCCCTGGGCTCCAGGCTCAGCCTAAGGGCTGGAATGGGAGACAAGGCAGCCAGAAGTAGAGAAAAGAAAGATGGGAAGGGGGAGAGGAAAGAGATCAAAGCTGGGGTGGCCATTGACCTCTATGCCTTCTTCCCAGCAGGTCCTTTTGAGGCCCCATCTTTACCAGATTTCAGTTGGGGAGAGCCAGGGAGATTGGGGACTCCCTCACCCCAACATCCCCTTCTCATCTTCTAGACTTGAAACAATTAAGAGAAACCTTCCTTACTCTAGCCAGCCTGATTTGAACTAGGAAGCCCCAAGAGCAGTGGGTCTCAGCCTTCCTAATGCTGCAACCCTTTAATTCAATTCCTCATGTTGGGGTGAACCCCCAACTGTAAAATTATTTCACTGCTACTTCATAACTGTAATTTGCTACTGTTATGAATTGTAATATAAATATCTGATATGCGACCCCTATGAAAGGGTTGCTTGACCCCCAAAGGGGTCTCGACCCACAGGTTGAGAATCACTGCTCAAGCGCCTCCAACATGGCCTAGAGGATGACCAATCCCAGTAAAAGCAACACACTGGGAAGCCATATTCTGGGGAAGCATCAAAGTGTGGGTTCCTGCTTCCCAGAGATGAGGCGGAGCAGCCACCAGTCACCACACAGAGACCAGCCTCTTGGGCTGAACCACATCCTCCTCTCTAGCCGGTACAGAAGAAGGGTTACTCCCTGGGACCAAAACCTTTCGAGAACCCCTAGCTTTGTTGCTAGCCTGAAGAACTCCACCTGGCTGCCTGCCTGGTCACCTACCAACTGTCCCCCAGTCACGACTCCAAGGCTTTCCTCTCCCCATCAGTCTGGGAGGCCTTTCCAGGGATGAGGTGAGGGCAAGGACACAACCCACGGATGAGGCTCCCAGACCCAAGAAGCCAGCAGCGGCTCTTCCTCCAGCAGTTGCTTGGAACAAGACTTGCATTTGGTTTTAATTCGCCAGCATCGTTTCTGGCCCCGTTTGCCATAGTAACGGGCCAGGGCAGGTCCTAAGGCAGTCCAGGGGACAGTATCAGCCCTTTGGAAGCTAGCAGTGGACAGGGTTCCAGTGGGGACCCCCAATGGGGCGGAAGTTTCCAATTACTAGCTGGCTACTGGCAAGCTGTTTGTGGCTAGATTCTTTACAGAGGGGGCAAGGTTTGATCTCCCACTAATCAGGGGGGTCTTCGAGGCGACGACTGTGGGATCACATTGAGGGCATTCTCATTGAGAAGAGAGACTTCAAAGCATCTAGTGGAAAAACAAAATAAAAGGGAGCAAGCTGAGCTGGGTGTCCCAACTCCCTCCTCTGCCCAGAGGGAGCAGCAGGCCCTGGGGCTGGAGGCTGAAAGTAGGAGGAACTGAAGTTAGGAGGGTGAAACACGAAGGTTAGAAGGGGTGGGGGGCCCTTTCCCCAGCTCCTCTGGGGCTGACAAAGGCTGTCAATTGTGGGCGGCTGGTGGGGACCGTGCCTGCCTTTGTCCTCCCAGACATCTGCTACACGTTGCCGGCTGCCAGTTGGCGACTGCGGCGGGCGGCACGTGGGAACAATGAGAGCCGTCTCGACCCACTTTTTCAGCCCTCAGCAGTCCTGGCTGACCCAGCCCGTGGCCAGAGGTGTGGGAGGCTGAGAGGCAGCTGGAGACAGTGAGGAGTGGCAGAGATTCCGCCCATAAAGCTCTATGGGGGATGGGCTGGAAGGCAGGGGGCGGGGGCGGGGGCGGGGAGGACTAGAGCCCAGGAGAGCAAGGGCGCGGGTGACCACCAGGACAAAGAAACATGCTTCCCTTGGTGCGAGCTGCCACATGCTCAGGCTGGGGAGCGACACGGGGGAGCTCTTCTGAGGTATCCCGTCCCCTCCGTGACTGGTTCCAGACTGGCCACTGCTGCTGCCGGCCTCCCTGCTCATTTGTTTTTCCCACCAGGGCTACCCCTGTCCTTTCGCCTGTCCATCTGGCCCTGTGGACCAGGGCCCCAGCTGCCCACGGGCTGCCCGCCAGGCCCCTTTCTCTGTCAGGCTGTCAGTTTCTGGATGGTCCTGTTGTAGTACTGCGTGATGGGGGGCGTCAGAGGGTTCCAGCTGTTGGCATGGAGCTCGATGACCTCCAGGAGCAGGGACCGGGTGAGCATGGACTCTGAGGGGCATAGCATCTTATCGCGAGCGCTGGCTAGGAGCTCTGTCATCATCTCAGGCAGCTGCTCCTCCAGCAGCCGGCCTGTGCTTTGTAGCTGTGGGTAAAAAGTGTAGTCAGGATGGGACTCGGACCCCATAATATGCACCGCCCCCCCACCCCCAATCCTTGGCTAGGTAGGCTGGAGGCAAGGATCAGAAAGATTGGAGCTGTCCTAGGGACATGCAGATCCAGGCAGGAATAGTCAGAGCCAGGATCTTACCTGCTGCCCAGGCCTGACATCAACTCACTAGGAACTCACCTCTTGGGTCTGCTACCCCAGAACCTTCCCTCCTGCAAGAAGCTTTCCCTGACTACACTTAGACTCTTATTTGACCCCAGGGTCTGCTCCCTCGGGCTATCAGGTATCGCCGTGATCATTTCTATTTACCAGGTATTTCTCTGGAAACAGATTAGTGATTGGTACCTATGCCTGTCTGTGTGGAACAGGAGGGGCCGTGGGGTCTGCTTTCTAACTCCAAACCTACCTCTAGCTCCAGAACTGACCCCCCCCCCCCCCCCCCCCCCGTTTGTAATAATAGCCAGGAGAGACGTGAACTGAAGTAGGTCAGTCAGGTGATCTTGGGAGATCCATCAATCTTGGAGGGGATGGGAACGACAAACAAAACAAAACAAAAAAAGGCTGGGCGGTGGTAGCGCACGCCTTTAATCCCAGCACTTGGGCGGGAGGCAGAGGCAGGCGAATCTCTGTGAGTTCGAGGCCAGCCTGGTCTAGAAGAGCTAGTTCCAGGACAGGCTCCAAACTACAGAGAAACCCTGTCTCGAAAAACCAAAACCAAAAACTAAAAAACAAAAACAAACAAACAAAAAACAAAAACAAAAAACCAATCTGGCTAGGAGAAGCTCTCTTCTTTGGCTAACAACTCATGCGGATCCCTTTCCACACGATCTGAACCCTCATTGCCACTGCACCCTGGCCTTGTCCTACCTGCTTTTCTAGGCTCCCCCTTTCCTGAGCTCTCTGACCCATCCTGACCACTCTGTATGTACACTCTTCCCATACATTCCCCAGCCACTGTGCATGTGGCAGCCTTGAAGCCATCTGAAGGAATGGACCTTGTCCCTCTAATCTCCCCCAAGCACCATGCAGGCGCCCAGCTGGAGCCCGACACGTAAACTTGATGACCATCCCGTCCAACCAAAGTTGTTGTGCAGGCTCTTGGCACAAAGCTCTGGGGGTGTGGCCTTTGCAACCTGGCCAGAGCCACCTAAACATATAAAATGCTCACTGGCATGGACAGGCAGGGTCCCTGTGCTAGGATGCCCTTCTATGTGTGCTGCCCTGGGTGACTCTGGGCTATTTGTAGAAGGCAAGGATCTGCCCCAGAACCTAGCCAGCCTTGGAAGAAAGTTTCCAGAAGTTTCGGTGTTCAGTGGCTGCATCTTGAGATCGGAAGCCTTCCAAGAGGCTACACCAATGGAGGAGATTCAATCAAGCATTTGGCCCCTTCTAATGGCATGCCATGGAAGTGAAGGGGCATCTTTGGGGGCAGCAGGTCACCTGAAACCTCTTAAGTCATTAGTGTGGCATGCCTGATCCAAATAGCAGAAGGTCTTGGGACAGGAAGTGGACAGTGCTAGCCTGTATTGACTGGTTCCGCAGACATCCCTGGACCAGGGGTTGCTCCACCTGGGGTTCGGCCCACAGCTCACCTCCATGGAGCAGCAGAGGACAGCATCTTCCTTCACATCCTGAGACTGTAAGAGCTGCAGAAAAGAGGACAGAGAAGACGACAGTGAGGCTGGGCATCAGCTGCCAGCCCGGCGGGTGGGTCACCGTCCTGCTTGCTCCTGACCCAGCTTTGATGCTGTTGATCTCTCTACTGGGTCAGGAGCCAGGGCCTGGCTACAGGCGAGAGTGCAGTCATCAGTTTCTTCTCCACTGGTGCAACAGTGCAAGTCAAAGCCGCTGTGACTCACTCACGGTGAGAGCTTTCCAACCAAGGCCGTGGCCAGGCCTGCTGGACCACATCCCACCACGTTTTCTTCTACCTATCCAACCTGTCCACTCAATGTCTCTCTTTAGAAACTGAGACACAACTCATGTGACATAAAATTTACCATTAAAAAAATTTTTTTTGATAGAAGCTCATGTAGCCCAAGCTGGCACTGAACTTGCTGTATAACCGAGAATGACCTGGAATTCCTGATATCCCTGTTTCAAATGCCTACACTTAGGGATTGGAGGTGCTGTAGAAATCACAGTAAATAAATAAAATGCTACTGAAATTACAAGGAGGGCAAAAGATGTGGTTTCTAGGGGAGGGAACCGGAGACTGTTGGGGGGTGTTGGCCATTGTGTAGGGAGGAGGAAAAACTGGGGTCTGGAGTCAAGGTGAAAGGTTGGCTCATTGTGTATCAAATGAAGGTGGTTGTGGAAGCTACTCGAGGCAGGTTTCCCACAATGCAGGCATGTGCCTGGGTCATGTTTCATCCTGAGGTCAGCTTCTTTGGGTCTGCAGTATCTCCCCACAAGAGTCTTCCTGGTTAGCAGGGCAGTGGTGGCACCGCAGCATTCGGGAGGCAGAGGCAGGCGGATCTCTGTGAGTTCGAGGCCAGCCTGGTCTACAAGAGCTAGTTCCAGGGCAGGCTTCAAAGCTACAGCAAAACCCTGTCTCGAAGAACAAGTGCCAAGTGAGGTAATGTTGTAGGAAATTCCTCAAAGAGCCAGGGCCTGAGAAGCAATGGCTACTATGTGCCATCTCTATCCCTGGAAAGTGGCCTTTCCCACTTCCAGCAATGCTGCACGGAAAGCCTCAGGCAGCTTCGGGCCCTCTCAGTAGAGTGCTTTGACCCCTGAGCCAACAGCTCCTCCTCATCTACTGCCCAGAGCCTGCTTGCCTGCCTTTGGCCTTCTATGACAGGATGAGGCTCCACGGCCTGTCCGTCTTCCCTCCGTTATCCCTCTACTCTTTCCCTCTCATCCTTGTGACTGTACTGTGTCCCGGGCTCCCTACAGAACACAGTACCGCTTCTACCCTGCCAGGGCCTGTGTTCCTCCCCAAGCAGAGCTGTGGAAGGGTCCTTTCTTCTGATCTTATCTCTTACTTGGTGATTGGGAAAGTCTGTGCTAAGCCAAAAACCACATTGTGTGACGGGCCCGTTGCTCAGGCCTGCTGGGCTTTCTCAAGGACGTTAAAGAGGGCTGTGTCTTTCATCCTCCCGTTTTCACTTTGGCTGTGCACAGAAAATACAAGAAGGAGAGGCTGGGGAGATGGCGCAGTTGGTAAAGTGTTTGCCTTGTTGGATCCCCAGAACCTGGGTCAAAATGCCAAGTTTGATGGGGCACACTTGTAATCTCAGCCCTGGGGAGGCAGAGACAGAAGTTGGGGTTTAATAGCCTATTGGTCTATCCTAATTTGTGAGCTCCAGGTTCACTTAAAGAACTTGTCTCAAAAAATAAGGAAGAAGACACCTGCTCACCCCTTCGATGCAGACTGGCTCCCTGATGCTACCTGTTGGACATGGATGCCTAGACCCTTTGGCGATGACTGGAGAGAAAGCTCCTTCAACCTCCTTCTTTGACCTCTGAGGGTGCCTTGCTCTGTGGCTAGTCAGGAAGTCCCCATTGCTTTTTTTGTGGTAACAAGAGGCTCACCGCCTCAACCAATGAGGGCTCCCTTTCTGGAACCCCTTTGTGTATATCCATCCAGGTTGCCCAGACCCACCCATCAGTGGCCCCCTATCATCCTCAGTGATGAAGGAGGTGCAGTCACCACGGACTTTATAGGCCTCATAGACATCCTTCCAACTATGGAACTTTCCCCTTCTTCCACCTTGGCCCAGATTTCCTGATCTATGTCCCATTTTCTTCAAGTCTAGGTTCCCAGAAGGACAGCTAGGTTTCGGGTCAGAGAATCCTGTTTGGATGTGAGGGGCCAAGCACTTTTCTCATTTATGTGTGTTCTACTTGGGATTTTTCAGGAGATGGTTGCTTGAACTCAAAGATTCGTTTCAAAAAAGGAGCCGTCACCGGAATAGACATAATGCTTGTATACGTCTTCATGACTATATAACTGATAGCAGTCAAAGGCAGAGAGACCCAAGTGTCCATCACTGGGGGAAAAGGGGAAACAAATGATCCATCGCGACAAGGGAGTATTATTCAGCTCTGAAAGAAGCTGTGACAGGTGCCATCACTTCAACCAACCTTCAAGATACTGCTCAATGCAAGGAGCCTGGCACAGAAGAGCAAATACAGCTTGGTTCTGCTTCTATGAAGTCCTGAGAACAGACAAATTCATAGCGGCAGAAAGCAGGTAGTTAACAGGAATTGGGACGTGGGATGGGGAGTTATTCGATGGGGACAGGTTTTCAATTGGGGAAATAAAAAGACTGTGTGGCTGGTAGGGATGATTACAGGGCAATGTGAATGGGTTTAATTCTGCAAAAGTATACTGAAAATAGTAAATATTATGTTATGTATATTTGACTACAACAAAAAACTGGCTATAAAAAAAAAAAAGAAAAAGAAAAAGGACAGCGCAGAGCAGGGCCCCCTGGGAGAATACATTGTCCTTCTCACTCTTAAAAAGAATGGCTGCACCAATGGAGGACCAGCGTGGGCCAGTCTTAGGGTGAAGGTCTGGGTGGGAAAGAGGCTATCCTCATTCAAGTCTTTGGCATAAAGAGGGATGTGGGCGGGTTGGGGCAGGCAAGCCACCCGCACCCTTGCACCGTGAAATGTGTTTCTTGGACGAGAATCCAAGGCAATTGTACGAGCCCACACAGTGTTTGTTAGGAAGCGAATGCATTCCTGTGCTATTGTCTCTGCCGGAGCCTTGTTGTGGGCACACCCATCACATCCTCCCTCAGGGAGAAGAAGCTGAGGTGCTCCAGCCAGGCTGTGGGAGGCCTGACAGCAACTAGAGAAAGAGCATCCCCAAGTCCCCGGGGAAGGGCCATGGGGCATGGGCATGTTGCCCAAGGCGTGCCCAGGATGGAACCAGGCTGGCTTTTGGGATGCCACCCAGCAGGGAGAGAAAGAAGGCGCTGACAGAAGGAAGTGTAGGGCTGTCTTGATGGGATGGTAGGGGTGAGCAAGGAGACCACAGCTTTGCGTCTCACTAGATAGGGTGTCAACCTGAGGCACGCTGACCAGCCCTTCCTGACCACCCCTGCTCTCCACAGGCGTATCCTGCAGTCTGGGAGAACAGACCCAGCTGCCTCAAATGCTACAGCTAATGCTGGCCCTGACCTATTCTCAGTAGTGTTGGTTCTGGGTGGGCTGGGGGAAGCAAGGAGGACGCCGGATAAATAAGTTTATAGAGTACACTGGCTACTTTGCTGGAGACCGGAGTCCAGCAGGACACCCTGACTGGCTGGCTGTGTATATGGAAGGACTAAGGCTTGTAAGGACAAAATCAAAGCGTGGAAGAAGTTGAAGGACAGGAAGACTAAAAAGGAGATCAAAGGGTTAGAGGTGGCGGACACTTCAGAGATGGGCAAACACTGACATTGGAAAGAGAGAGGGAGAAAAGAAAAGAAGACACAGTCCCAACACATGAATGATGGGATGTTGAACTGGGGACTTCACTCAGCTGCCTGCACTATACGGGTACCTTTTAGTTGGCAGAGCCTACCTATCCTATGCCTCTGCTGGCTTTGAACCTGCGTCACAGCTGAGTCTAAAAGACAACACAGGAACTGATACTCGTGGTAATAACCTTGAGTCATCGAGAAGAGGGTCAATTACGTCTGGCTCTCTCTGTTGAGGGAGACAGATAATCCATCCAAGAAAAGCTATCATCAAAAACGTGCAGCAGACGGGGATATGCCACTCACCAAGGGTGACCCAGGGCATGCCACTTAATCACGCTGTGCCTCAGTTTCCTCACCTGAGAATGGGGATACTATCTGTCTCACTGTTTTGAGAGTCAACTGAGATAATATACAGGCAAGAGCTTTGAAAACTGCAGAGCCTGGTTTAAACGCAAGGTGTTATTATTATGATTACATTTATATCTTTATAAACATATATCTTCACTACAGATCCTAACACACTTCGTACCCTCGTGACACTCTTGTGGAGACAAGCAAAGGCCATGAGCATTATTATCTCTACTTAATAGACAGAGAAACCAGGCCTCAGTAGTTAAATGGCTTGCATAAGCCAGCCAGCCAGCCAGCCAGTGAGCCTGAGCAGAGGTACACAGAGCTCAGAGTCCTGGGTCAGCATCCTCTCCCATAGAGAATGGATTTCATTTCTCTGAGACCGGGTAATTTTTAGTTGGAAAGCTGGAACTCATAATTCTCAATTCTGCTGACTGGTGACAAGAGCCAAGCTGGGCTTTCACAAAATTGAATTGATTTTTACCTGTTCTTTGATTGCGCTGGTGACATCTGTTTATTCATCAATATACTCTATCCTTTCATCCATTTGTTTACCCATTCATCTACTTTATCTGCTCATCCTTACCTATTCATTCGCCCACACATTGACCCACCCACCCCTTCATCCACCCACTCATCAATCTTCCCATCCATCCATCTATCCATCCATCCATTCATCCATCCATCCATCCATCCATCCATCCATCCATCCTCCCACCCATCAATCCTCCCATCCATACATGCATGCATCCATCCACCCAACCATCCATCCATATGGGCATGTATCCACTTACATCAACATTTAAGGAACATCCACTGTATGCTAACACAACATAGTGACAATAAGACTTCTGAGAGACTTTTGCCAGGCACAT